TTGTAGTGTAGACATACCCTCAGAGATTGTGTGCGTCAGCTGTTTGTAACAACCATAGGGATTGAGGAGGAAGCATTTGTGCTTCTGATGTTCCAGAAAAATAGATCCTATTAAATTCCAAAGCCTTTTTCTGAAATGACCATTTCTGATTTTTGTGGAGAATTGCCAATACTGTGTCTCTGCAAAAAGGAAAGTTTAATTTCTGTGTAAATCTTACAAAACCAGAACACTGTGTGTGTGGAATTGTGAAGGGTCACCTCTCCACACTGACCCTGCAAGAGCAGGATTGGGCTAATGAGGCCCAATCAGCCAAACAGGTTGCACTCTGGGAGAATAAAGCCTGGGAAAAAAGTTTTAATTGGGGTAAACTCATCTATGTGGGGACAAGCAGGACTTATAAAGAGAGGAAACTGGAAGCTGAGGAGACAGCATGGAGGAAACCTGTTTGGTGATAATGAATAGGAAATCACTATGGGAGGGAGAGTCAGGGCAGTAGGTGTGAGGACTGTCTAACACCACTTTGGGTGTGTCTACACAGCACCGTAACTCGAAATAAGATATGCAATTTGAGCTCAATAAATTGCGTATCTTATTTTGATGCTATTTCAAAATAGCTTATTTCATCATTTGTCGCTGTCTACACAGTGCCAAATTTAGAAATAAAGCGCTATTCCGAAACATCCCTTACATCTCATAGAACAAGGTTTACAGGTTTCGTTCACAGCAAGAACGAAATAACAGGCTTGCTGTGAAGACATGGGATACCTATTTCAGGATACTCTGGTATCCCAAAATAGTACTGCAATGTAGCTGTACCCTAAGGCTGTGTCTACACTGCACCGCTTTTCCGGAAAAGGGATGCAGATTAGACCAGTCGGAATTGCAAATCCGCGGGGGATTTAAATAACCCCCTCGGCATTTGCATTTACATGGCTTCCGCTTTTTTCCGGCTTGGGGATAAGCCGGAGAAAAGCGCCAGTCTAGACGCGATTCTCCGGAAAATAAGCCCTTTTCCGGAGGATTGCTTATTCCTACTTATTCCTTGAAAGTAGGAATAAGAAATCCTCCGGAAAAGGGCTTACTTTCCGGAGAATCACGTCTAGACTGGCGCTTTTCTCCGGCTTATCCCCAAGCCGGAAAAAAGCCGCCGGCCATGAAAATGAAAATGCCGTGGGGGATATTTAAATCCCCTGCGGATTTGCCTCTTCCAAAGTGCTACATTTGCATGCCTATTCCATAATAGGGGCCAATGTAGACAATGTGACTTGGCTGGAGGGTCAAATCACAAAGAGGATGTTGTGGTTCCTGGAGCAAAAGCGGGGTTTCAGGCTGAGAGAATGGTAGAGTGTAATTACTGGAAGAAGCATAGACCTGGCACGCTGTTCCTCAGATGACCAGGAGAAGGCCACATTAGCAGTGAGTAGCGCACCCCATCTCAGAATCTATAGCTTAGGAGGGTAAAATCAGTCATCTAAAAGAACAGGTTGTTTCAAGAGCCTGCCATAAATTCTCATATTTTGAATTAAATTTGGTTGACTTTTGATCAAACCTATTGTGATGATTTTATATTTCCAAGGTAATCAGTGTACCTTTATGCCAAATTTTCAAAGACTGACTAATGCCTGAATTGGGTTAGAACTGCAGATGCCAAATCTGTGTGTTTGAGCAAATCACATATTTACACGTTGGGTTCCATGGGCCTTCATAATGCTCATTTTTGTAGGAAAGCAAGGTGCAATCTTTGAAAATCAGCTATTATTTCCTTGAGCATGCTATTGAGAAATTCCATGGATCACAACAAAGCCTAAAGTGTCAGTTAAATGTCTTTATTTACAGAAAAATGTCATGGCATTTGACAGCTAGCAGCATTCTTATGTTTTGAACAAGCAAAGATTTCAATGTCTAATATTTGCTGCCTTAAATTAGTTGTATTGCAGTGCTACCTATTGACACTAGAAAGGTTCCCAACAAGACTATGAACAGCAAAACTCTACAGTTCTCTTATGAGAGCCATTCAGTCTCCTGTACTCTACTATTATACATACACTAAATTGATTTCTAGGCAGCACAAATGAATACACGTCTAAAAATTGTTATTTCAAAACCTGACTGAATCTACTGTAATTTCCCGAGTGACATTGGAGGGTCTTTCTTTCCTTTTCCTTTTTTTTTGTTTCTTGTCAGTTAAAAGCCTTAGTGTTAGTCATTACCTGACAGCCTCATGAACAGTACTGTAAGATGGGCAATCCCATTTTATAAACTTTGGCAGAATGGAAATCAAGTATAAATAATTTTAAATCAATTTGTCTTACTGAAAAATCAACCCTTTTGTGAGAAAATAACACAAAATTGTGTCTCCAATGACAAACGCAATTCATGGTATGATATTTAATAGAGTAATTTGCTGCTGTTAATGCACCAGTACAAAGCAGACTCATTTGCTGTTCCATGGAGATAACTCTATTGGTGTTACATAACTGGACAGATTTCAGTGATGGCAGAATGGCACAAGAAACTACTCTGCCTTGCCTGCCATCTACACTTGCCAGCTGGCAAGGAAGTCCTCACAGCAGCATACTACTACAGTGACAGCATGACAGCAAAGGAAACACCCCCTAAATTGAAATGTTAAGAGGCTGGAATGTCATTCGGTAGTAAGGAACTGGTACTGAAAGTGATAGCTCTTGGTAAAGCTGGCACAAAAATTATTAATTACTGCTGAAGGCTCAGAGGAAAGAAATAATGAAAATGACCACTGTGATTTAAAAAACCTGCTACAATAGACTACAGGAAATGGGTTTTATCTTTATGGTTTTAAAATACATTTGCCCCTGGGGCACTTTTTTAAAGTGGCATGGGGACATACATGTTGCGCAGGAATGACATTTTGGACTAAATTCTAATCTCAGGGTAAATCTGAAGAAACTGTCCTAAAGCAAGTGGATGACTTCAGGTTTAACTAGTGTAACTGAAAGCGGAATCTGGTTTCTTGCTGGATTTCTTACGTGTAGCCAGGGCCGGATTAAGGGGGGGGGGAGGCTAGTTCGGCAGCTGCCCGGAGCGCCAACCTATGGGGGGGTGCCTGATGGCAGCTGTAAGAGGCGCCGTGCGCCCAACGACCATTAGAGCTGCAATCAGCTGCCACGTGCCCAGGGCCGCGCAGCGCCCCTTAGAGCTGCCATCAGGCACCCGGGGCTGGGGGCCGCGCGGTGCCTCTTAGAGCTGCAATCAGGCGCTGCGCGCCCGATGGCAGCTGTAAGGTGTGCAGCGCATGCGCCGTGCTCCCGGGGGCAGAGCCACACATGCACCGCGCTCTCTGCCCGGGGCGCAGGAACGGCTCGAGTTGGCCCTGCGTGTAGCACAGAGACTAGAACTGATGTGTGACAGTGTGTTTGTATGGGGGAGGGGAAGTAGGTCAAATAAAAACAGCACCAGACTAGATCCTGAGATACCGTGCAAGATGCAAATAAATGTGGTGCAACTCGGTGGACTAAATTTTGATCTAACTTTCACTGGTGCAAGTACGCTGCAACTCTTTTGAACTCAGAGGAGTGAAACTGATGTAAAACAAGTAAGAGATTGGCACCGGGATGATATAAAGACCTACCCAACTGCTAATACATAAATTGCTAAGAGAACCCTTCCTGGAGCATCACAATGCCAATGGGCAGTGCACCAGAGGCACAGCCGGTTAGGCAGGTCCAACGTGTTCCTTTCTCTATGGTCAATTAACTTTGCTGACCCCTGCAGAAAAGAACTGATTTTGTTTGGCCACAATGAAGCGAGATCAACGGAGAAGGATAGGTGCATCATCTCTTCCTGCCTTTTACACCCTTGCCATTGCAGGTGTAATTTGTTCCAGGCATAAAATAATATTAAAATTGATTTATTCGTGTCCTTTTAATGTCCAGAGTGGTTCCAGGGTAAATCACAGTACCTTCTCTAACAGTGGGGTTCTGACAAAGATCAGAGATAAGAATAGGGATGTAAAAGTCCATTTAATTGGTTAGCTGGTGAAACTAAAGCCCCAGTCCAGACTCCAGGAACAAACCCCACCTGCAGCAGGCCCCGTGGGGCTGAAGAAGCTCTCCAGCTCCCATTGGTTAAACAAACTGGTAAGCATCGCCCGTCAGCTTGCTGGTTAACTGGCTAACCTTTCACATCCCTAAGAGGGACATACATTCATTTCACTGTATATAATTCTGGAGTAGGAGAAGGGTGCAGGCACTATACATTTGGGAGGGGGCAGCGAGAAGGAAACCAAATACTCCTACTGTGTTTTTCTCAGTGATACCCATAGACTTTCTTGTCACCATGGCTTAAGATACTGACCAAGGTGCTGACCCTGTCGGTCAGGGTGGCTAGCTCTCGGCCTTGCCCCCAACCCGCAGTGTTGTACCCCCACCCCCACACTGGAGCCCAGTGCTCTCTCACTGTAGCCTCTGGATGCCTGCCCCAGACTGCTCCACCATTTCCAGTCCCAGGCAGATGGCATGGTCTCTGCACCAGCCTGGGCCTTGGCACAGGATAAGAGCAAAGGGTAAGAGCCACAGAGCAGGAAGGGGGCAAAGTGTGGGCCACACCTGGCAAAGTGTGGGCCACACATGGCTGTTTGGGGAGGCTCAGCCTCTCCCGGCCTATGATACCCACTGCCCACGATACTGGCAGTATCATGAAGTCCAATGAAAAAATAACGAAGTACAGCAGTATGAAAAAGACCTGTATTTGGTTTGCCTATAGGATTGTCTACAGTACAGTTTGAAACTCTCCAGCCAGGCACTCTCTGGTGCAGTTCAGTGTTATTAAAAGTACTGTAACCCTTTGAAAGGAAGCCTTTTAAAATTCCATCTTAAATGAAAAGATGTTCTAAGTTATCAGCTGTTGGTGCATTGCAGGGTACTTTACTCATGGTGGAGCAGATTGCCAGCAGCAGCAAAACAAACACATCTTGAATTACACCAGTAGTAAGTAAGAAGATGAAAAACAGCTTTTTACTTTACCTTGGTGAAGGTCAAACAGTCCTTGTCTTGGTCTTTATCCTTTATTTCAAAGTCATAAAGTGCTTTGCCCTGAGGCGGAGCTTGTGGAAGGGGCTTGATACATTGGATGTAGCTGGCTGGAAAGAAACCGTGGTTTCCGTTGAGCTCTCCATGATACCAGTTTTCATCTACCTTTCGTCGTAGTATGATAATGTCCCCTTTGTTAAACTTGAGGTCACCAGGTTCTTTTCCCTCATAGGTGTAGAGAGCTTTACCATAGGGCAATTGAGAAATACTCTAAAAAACACAAGACAATAATTGTAAGTAAACTCATAACATGCACCAACTCTTTCCTTGAATTCTCCATCTACTAGTAACTAAGGCCACGTCTTCATTAAGGAGAAGATCAAAGTTGCCGTGATCGATCTTCCAGAGATCAATTTAGTGGGTCAGGTAAAGACCTGAGGGCACCCACCTGAGGTGGCCACCCAGAGAGATTCAAGTGCTGCCCAGCTGTGAGCCCACAGTGCCCACAGCTGACAGCATTTGTTTCTACTGGTGGTGCACATTTGCTCCTGTTGGCCTCTCACTGTGGGGACAGTGGCGAAATTAAAATCAATGAACTGATGTTGATTCCAGTTGCATATTTTAATTCAGCCTTCCCCTTTAGTGTAGACCTGGCCTAAATGATGATCAGGGACTGATCTACCATCATGATTCAAATTCATTACAATAAAACAACATAATCTAAATTTCATGCAAAAAAAATCAACATTAGTTCAACATTAAATACCAAGAAATGACACAGTTAGGGTGAAAGAGCTCTAAAACACTGAAGCATTGTACTTAGGTTTCAAAATACTATTTAATTATATGAATGATACTGTGTTTGCTAATTCATACAATGTATAATACTTAAACTAGAATTTCTTACAAAATATACATGCAATAAGATACAATATTGTACATTCAGTCTTGGTTTGATTTTTAAGTCACAATGACATCTACAAAATAAATTAAGTTTGAAGGAAATTGGTTCATTACATTAGGAGTTATGAATTTAAAGATATTAAGTTGAAACTTTTTTACTTCATTTGTTAGAAAAAGTCCAACTGAATTGTAATAGCTTTTGTGTTTTATAAACAAAACCTCTTAATCCTTTCAAATGGCCCATATTGCATGGTATTTACTAAGGACTACTGTATGAACATACATAAACTGATATGTAACCCTCACTATAACTTACTGTACTATAACATCTTTCAGTTTGTTTCCCAAAATACTGAAGAGATCTTATAAAAATGAGGAGTCCTGTGCAATGTTCCCTCTAATTTTTTCTATAGAATACATTTTGTTATGTGCACTGAGGAATGTGCAGATGTGCACCTCCAGTAGAAACAGATGCTGTCAGCTGTGGGCACTGTGGGCTCACAGCTGGGCAGCACTTGAATCTCTCTGGGTGGCCACCTCAGGTGGGTGCCCTCAGGTCTTTACCTGACCCACTAAATTGATCTCTGGAAGATCGATCACGGCAACTTTGATCTTCTCCTTAATGAAGACGTGGCCTTAGTTACTAGTAGATGGAGAATTCAAGGAAAGAGTTGGTGCATGTTATGAGTTTACTTACAATTATTGTCTTGTGTTTTTTAGAGTATTTCTCAATTGCCCTATGGTAAAGTAGCTTTCAGGGGTCAAAACCACTTTGTCAGATGCACAGACAAAGTGATCTTAAGAGTTCTTGTGGCTCAGAGTTGCCACTCTCTTTTTTAGCGAGCTAGATAGAGAGATAGGCGACTCCAATTATATATAATAGAACTCTGCTAGGGCCTACTCCTGCACCTACTGAAACCAATGGCAAAATTCCTATAGACTTAAATAGAATCAGAATTAAGCCTGCAATGAAGGTACCTGCTTAATCATTACCTTGACCTGCTGTTGATGATTTCAGAAATGGTAAGTGAACAGACAAGAATAGAACAGAAGTTCTGCAAATAATTTAAGCAGAGTGACCTGCCTCCCAATTTCCTTTTTGGCCAAATTATGTCTAGTCTTTTTGTGAGTTCCTGGAGCAGAGGAAGCCTTTACCCTGGAACCCTCTGAGGGTAACAGATACCCTACAATGTGCGTGGCAATGTAGCCTATGGCTCTTCCCACTGCCAGCATAGCTAAGAAGCTGTGCAAGAAGCAAAATGTGTCACCATCCTAATCTAATGGGTGCCTTCCTCTGCATGCTTCCCAGCCCCAAGAGGCATTAATGCAAATCCTTCCCACAGCTTCTGCAGGGTTGATGGAGAATTCCCTTTCCTGGCATCAATACAGGGCAATACCCATCAAGAATGACTTGGCCCTTTCTCCCTCAATATTATGGTAGCTATTATTTTATTTAGCTATAGACACATGCAATATCCTGTCCATAGAGTTGAGAGAGGAAAGCTGAAAACGCTCCATGGATTTTTATAACATAAGTTTTGTAGGCGATTTCTTTATAAATGTTACCGGATTTTGTATTGTTTGTGTATGCGCTGATGTTGTTTTTTATCTTCTGTTTACAGTGGCTGTCAGCTAGGAGAGGAGACTAGTGGAAAGGGTATAAAAACAAGATGTTTAAAAAACCTGGGATGTTTTACAAGATGTTTATGCTTGTTTGATTTCTGAGTGGTGTTTTTTCTGTATAAAGGATTAGTGGTTTATAGGAACAAGATCTGCAGTTATACTAGCTGGGGTAAATTTCATATTAATTGTGATGTTTGCAGTGTGAGGGGGTGGAACGGGTCAAGAAGATATTTCTCCCCAAGTGACAATGCAGGAAAAATAGATGTGCCACGGAGCTTTTATGCCTTCCTCCGAAGCACCTGGCACAGCCCATTTTTAGACACAGGATACTGGATTAGATGCACTATTGGTCTGTTTTGATATGGCAGTTCCTATGTTTTTATGACCAAATCTCAGTGTGGGCTGAGCAAGAACATCTGTCTGTAATTTATACTGCACCGTACCTCGGTATATAATGTGTAGATCCTGGGCACGGTAGGAAAGGATTTTTCATGACCATTAATTATATCTCACACACATCAAAAGTTAGATCCTATGTTCATCTCTGTACACAGATGTTAACATCTTTATTTTATCTGGTAAGGGATGAGGCACGTAGGTGCTGAGTTGATTCTGTAAGTGTAAGTAATGGACTCTGCTGTCTGAATTATAGTGATGGAGCCTATCACATACTGCAGCATTATCAGTGTTGTCTGGATAGGGATTTAATTTCACAGCCTCACAACACAATCGATCAAGTTTATTGTTGCCAATTTGTCCCACTTTTTTGGTTCTATGTGACATCTCCTTAACTGCTGCCAGAGACCAACAGTATGGAAGAAAGTTCTCAAACATAATGAAAAAGCATAATATCACAACAGAAAAGTGAATGGCCACATAACATGTCAACTTCCCAAGAACTGCTTATTCTATGGCATCATCCTATGGTGAGTTAGTCAGACTGTTCCTGATATACTTATCTCTGATGCCCAGGAATGCTGAGGCACTGTCTATCTAAGCATATAAAAGATTAAAGAACTTGCTGGTGTTATAAACAGAGGCACTGCACATATAGTGTCACCTATTTCATTCTAGAAAAACAATCCCATATTTAACTGGAGGGAAGGTTATAGACTCTAATAGTAACACTGAGACAGGAGAGAAAGTGAGATTTATGACTCTAGTACTCTGCCTATGGAAGACAGTTTCTCAAATATAAAATAAAACCCCTTGCCAAGTATTCACTACACACAAACCATTACTGATCCAATTAGAGCATGGCACACCACACATACCATAACAGATTCTTTACTTAAAGAATGGCTATGCTCAGAAAAGTGACTCCGTGAAGATCAGATTCCTAACTTCTCTGACCATTTTAGATGTACAGAGTTAAGGGAAAAGAAACTGGATTGTATTCTGGCTCAGGAATCACTTGCAGAATTGTTTATTAAGTTCCATTTCTTGTATCTTAATTATGAATGATTAAAGCTGGTCAGAATTTTTTTATTCCACTGAAAATTTCAACTTTTCAATACTGCATACATGAAGCATGTTAACTACAATTCCTATTAGGCAATGTAGAATCGTTTCCAAAAACATATATTTAAGTTTTCATCTGAATTTTTTGTTTTGTTTTGAGCTGCATTTTTTATATTTTTAATGAAAAAATGAACAATTTCAGTGGAAAGCAGTCACTTTTTGATGAAAATTTGTTCAGTCAAAAGCCCAATTTTCCATAGAAAAACAGATCTGATAAAAAAAACCGACAGACCCTGTGAGTCTGAAAGACCTCAGTTTGACTTAAAGATCCCAGGCTGAGTTTTCAGAATCACAAGTAGAAAAAACTCCTCTTTACCTGTAAACACATCTCATATCAACTCAGATAGAAATCTAGACAGAGACACAAACATGAATCTTTATCCTCCATTCTAATAGAGTCATTTTTCAAATAAATTACATTTGACAATGGGTTGGGTACGGGTGCTTTAGAGAGAACTTCAACAGCATAATTCAGAAAAAATTGAAAATCCCCCTTTTTATCATTCTTCAATTAATTACAGTGGCATGGCTCAGTAGTCAGGAGACAGCAAACAACCAAACTCTGACTGGTCAGATTCATGAAATTATTTCAGATTCCAAACAAGTAACCTGACTAGGCTTTTTTTTTACCATGTTAGTGACAGCAGTTGTTTTTGTTAGTCTGTATGGTATTGAATAGCCCAACAGATTTAGAAAGATTTGAATATGTTGGAAGAATGAATGTTGTTGTTGTTCTGGTTTTATTGCTCTGCATTACAAAACAGCAGCATAACCCACACAAATACTGTTCACTAATTATTATGAGATACCTCCCTCCCGCACCAGAGAACATAGCACACTCCTACAGATAGCTTCAAGCTTCACCCGCTAGTTTTCAAACCTTTGTTCAACCTATTTCTAACCTTATTTATTCACCATTCTCCACTTGACTCCTCCTCATTCCATTGGCTCTGGAGAATAGTGTTGTCAGCCAAATTCGCAATCTAATTCATAGTTGTAATCTTTTAAAGTTCTGCCTAAAAATATACTGTTCCCCTTCTCTCTTGGCAGTCTAGCTCCACACACTTATCCCATTTACGATAACTTTATGTTCCATACAATGCTTTTAGTCGTATTTTACCATCTTCAATAGGCACAGATGGTCTTTCCTACAAAATTCTCTAATTTAAAGCAGACTGTGACATTGTCAAAATGAAAATGCAGGGAAGCTGTGTCTGGGAATG